GGACAGATGGACACACGGTTGGACACCTGGATGGACATACAAGTGGACAGATGGACACCTGGATGGACACCTGGACAGGTGGACCCCCAGAAGGATGGACAGATGGACAGAGAGCAGACACCTGGACAACTGGACACCGGGACAGAGGGATGGACACCAGGACAAAGAGACACACGGACACCTGGACAACCGGACACCAGGACAGACAGACACCTGGACAAATGGACAGATGGACAACCGGACACCTGGATAACTGGACACCTGAATAAATGGACACCTGGACAAACGGACACCTGGACAAATGGATAATCAGACACCAGGACCACGAGACAGCTGGACAAATGGACACCTGGACGGACACCAGGACAACCGGAAAACTGGACACCTGGACAAACGGACACCAGGATAACTGGACACCTGAGTAAATGGACACCTGGACACCAGGAAAAACAGACATCAGGACACCTAGACACCTGGACAAACGGACACCTGGACACCAGGACAAATGGACACCGGGGCAAACGGACACCGGGACAACCAGACCCCAGGACACCCGGCCCCCCCTGGACCTCCGGACCGCGGGGACAAGCGGCCACCCCGCCCTCGGGACAGACGGACGGACGGACGGACGGACGGACCCGCCCCTCCCCCGTGCCCACCTTCACCGGGGGCCGCCCCCGCAGCATCACCAGGACGGCGGCGGCGGCGGCGGCGGCTCCGAGAGCGGCGGCGGCGGCGAGGGCGGCGAGGGCCAGGGCCAGGCGGCGGCACCGGGCCCGGGGCCGGTTCTGGTCCCGGTGCCGCTCCCAGTTCTGGTGCTGGTGATGGTCCCAGTTCTGGTGCTGGTGATAGTCCCAGTTCCGGTTCTGATCCCGGTTCTGGTCCCAGTTCTGGTGCTGATGCTGGTCCCGGTGCCGGTTCTGGTCCCGGTGCCGGTTCTGGTCCCCGTTCTGGTCCCGGTCCCAGTTCCGGTTCTGGTCCCGGTTCATGTCCCAGTTCTGGTCCCGGTGCTGGTGCTGGTCCCAGTTCCGATCCCACTCCCTGTTCTGGTGCTGATGCTGCGCCCAGTCCCGATTCTGGTCCCGGTTTTCGTTCCAGTTCTGGTGCTGGTTCTGGTCCCTGTCCCGGTTCTGGTCCCAGTTCCGATGCTGATGCTGATCCCAGTCCCGATTCTGGTCCCGGCT